CCCCAAAACCCCAAAACCCCAAAACCCCATCTCTAAATTTCATGAACTTGTGTTAAATTAAGAATGATATTTAAGTTAAATATTTATTAAAATAAGAATAAAAGAAAATACTTTGTGGTCGTATCATTCTTTGGTCATCTATCTTTGATTGAGTGTTAGATTAATCTCAATTAAGCATCAGAATCTTTGCTAAAAATAAATGACTAAATTTTAAAAATTCTTAATTGTAATTTTGAAATCTTCCAGTCCCAATTTAATTGTATTATCATAAGCAAGCTTGTTATTGTTGAAGTGAGGTTAAAGTAAATTATATAATTACTCAAAATCCTTATTAATCGAATTCTTCAATAAATTCAATTTAAACATTATCAGTTCATTCTAGTAATTTTGGTAGTAAGTTGAATTATCGATAAATTTCATAAATTTCTATTTCAAATAGGTTATTTTTGGTCTCTAATTAGGCTAAAATGTTGTCATTTCATCAAAGATTTCTTAAAATTTTGAGTATTATGGTAAAAAAGTAATTTTGATGTTTTTTATCAACTATGCATTAATTGGCTTCATATTTTGTCTTTCAGTTCCATGACATAAATAGTAAAGTAGAACTCCTAATGACCAGATATCTACTGACTTATCATAAGATTCAAGATTCAATACCTCTGGAGCCATATAATGACCCGCTCCTGCCTGAGCTACACTTAATATGCCGAATGATTCTATATCAAAATCGCAAATCTTAACTATATCATTATCAAAAACTAGAATCTTTTAGGGATTAATATCTCTGTGGATGAATCCTTTGCAATGTGCTTCTTCTAAACCTTCTAAAAGCTGAATCATGATGGTTGAAATATCTGAATAATTCATTTCTCCTCTCTAATTTTTAAATTCAGTAAGATCATACTTAGCTAGCTCACTGACAATGATTAATTTGCAATCAATAGTAAGATATGAATCAAGAATCTCAACAATATTTGGATGCTTAAGTTGAAAAGTTTCTATTTCTCTTAGAATTCTAAGTACTTCGTATGAAAGATTTTCACCTTTGCGAAAGTTTAAAATAGAGAGATCTTGTTTCTTAAAAGCAACATTTTTATTATTTTCATCCTTCAAATCTTTGGCTATTTAGACTGAGCCATATCATCCAGTAGCAATATGATCCACAATTAAATATCTATCATTCGAGTCTCTAATATTTAGAGATATGTTTACCGGGTAGTAAGTTGTAAGATTACTTGATAATTAATGTGTTATTTCATATGGATCCAATTAATTACCACATGATATTAAATCTTATCAATTTAATTTAGGAAAGACTATTTAATCTATAGCAACCTCTGTTTACAATTTCATTTTATTCTAGCTTACCCAAAACTCCTGCATTGCTTCAATATGTTAGTTAAATTCATTAATTAAGCCATTGATATTACTCTAAATTTCGATGCTTGTTTTAAGTTAATTATATTAAAAGTGATATTCTGCGTACTTTTTGAGTTATTACATAGAATTTCCAACACTTGATTTTACTTGATTGAAGTAGTAATTCATAACATAGCACTAATACTTATTATACTATTGTCTATCCTAAATCAGTTTAAGAAATTCTCCTTTCAACTCTTTAATTGAAGGTCTTTGAAAAGGATCAAATTTTGTCATTTAGTTGAAAATTTCTTGGAAATGAGAGTATTATTCTGGCACTCATATTTTTAATTAGGGACCTTAATGATTAAAAAGTACACTGTTTACATCTTTCATTTCTGCCTCTTTTTTAATTTAATATGTTCCCGTCATTAGATAGTAGAATACAATTCCAAGAGACCAAATATCAACCTTATTATCATATTGTTAGCCTAGTATAATTTCTGGAGCCTTATAACAATCTTTACCAGCATTAATATAATCTTACTTTCCGAAATCAGAAATATCAAAACTACCGATTTTAATTATGCCATCATTAAAGACAAATAAATTATCTGGTGATATATCTCTGTGAATAAAACTGCTGTCATGGATATACTCTAATCCTTCGAGTAATTGGAGCATGATAAAAGCAATTTCAGAATTATTAAAAGATTAATTCCCTCCGTTGATTTTTCGGTTTATGAAATCTTTTAAATTACATTCTCCCAGCTCACTAACAATAAAAAGTTCAGCTTAGTCATTTAGAAGGACATCTTCAATTTCCACAATATTTGGATGTCTCAACTAGTGTGATGCATTTACTGTCATGATCCTAAGTATTTCACGAGCAAATTCTTCATTATCTTTCTTATTCATGCCTCTATATATTTTTGATATTTCAAGTGCTACTCTTCTCCCCCCATTGATTATTTTATGATCAACTAATTTATCAGCTTAATAAGTTTTTCCAAATGGATCCTAAGATAATTAATATTTAATTCGATATTATTCTTCAGTATCACGGAATTCCACTCCTAATCCAGTTGCAGCCATTATTTTTTTGTTTAACCTTAAGTATTTAAATATTAAGATAGGGACTAAATTAAATATTTAAATTTCTCAATAATTTATATTCCTTAATTTTAGATATCTTTATCTAGGGGTTTTGGGGTTTTGGGG